TTTCAAGATGGTCACTGTGGATACCATTGTGGATGTCTTAGCATCTTCATTTAGGACCAAGTAGACTATAGCAATCTTCCAATAAGTTTAGTAAAATTATGAAAAAAAACTTGTTCTAATGGAGGGTGTTGGATAAATGTTAAAAAACAGACCATCCCTTCAGGCATTCTAGTCTTTGACCAATGGTGTTAATACAAATGGTTATAAACATATATTGCATCAGGAAAGTTAACAGCAACAACCTACCTAAAGTTGTAAAGCATTCACTCTTATAGATGAGGCCCCTGTTTTGTCAAGCCACCCTTTATTAAGCTAGAAAATACATATATAAAAGGGAAGTAAAAAAAAAAAATGATGCTAATCTCTTTGATGAACTGATCAGAAATGATTGCTATAATAATCTAAAGCCAAGACAGGCTTAACAAATCTCCTGCACACTAAATACCAAATATCAATAAAAAGAACAAGGAAACAAAAGCAAAACATTTTACCAGTATTGGTAATGCCTCCAATGCATAAATACAACTCAAATACATGGGTGCCTGCAGCATGGGTCAAGGGGTTATGTGATGCCCTTCCCCAGAAATCATACAATATATATATATATATATATATATATATATATATATATATATATATATATATATATATATATATATATATATATATATATATATATATATTCTGACAAGTTTAATCCTGCAAATGAAGCTAAAAATGTCACAAGATTCTGTTCAAAACACTTAATAAATATTAGCTTCAGTTTCAGACTACTTTATATACTAACTCTCCCTACTGTGACTGATTGATTCCCCTCCTGAAAATATCTTGACCCCCTCCATGCACAAAGTCCTGACCCCCTCCGCTGCAAAAAATCCTGTGGGCACCAATACTCAAATATACATATTATTCCATGAATAAAATAATCATAATAATCACATCACAAAGCATCCCCAGATTCACAAATGAAAACACAATTAGTGGAACAAGACAAGAAAACTTTGTTTCCTTGATCCATAAACAACTGTAGTTATTAAATGAATACAAGTGAAAGCTTTTAGGACAACAAATGTTAAAATATAGTTACATTATACTATCATGTTCTACAGGTTAAAAGATTTTCCCAATCTGTTATGACCAAGCTAACAATAAAGCCAAAACACAATCTGTTGGATCCTAGCCATGTCAATAATGCAAAAACAAATATAGTGGTGGTACTCTTGTGGGTTAGAGAACTGGAAAGTAGAAATAAAGCCCACTTACCTACATAAAGCTATACAAAACTAAGAAAAACAATTGATCATTAGATTTATCAAGGGCCACAAAGAAAATTCCAGACCCATAAATCACCCCCCCTACATGTTTCAGGGAGCTTAGCCCCAATGTTTTCCCAACAAAAAAACAATTCTATTTCTTGACCACCTTGATATATGCCTGTAATCTTAATATGTACAAAATTAAACTGACATGCTGAAAGGTGAGCTAAACTTATCATCTGGACATACAAATGATGCAAGAACAATTAAACAGTAAGGTGGTGGAGATAGACAATGACCATTCTTACTTAATTGGCTCAAAATAATTATGGTGTTGTGTCCAATTCTTCTGTTGAAGAGTCCATTTTACTAATTAGCATATGCAATATACACACAATACAACAACCCAATTCATCTAAGTCCATCAGAAACATGCTGATGAACAGATGTTATTTGATATCACTACACTGAATGAGAATACTGCAGCCAAGTTTAATAATTTATTATTAAACTTTAAAAGTTTGTGATCAGCAGCAACCTAGCTCTGAAGTTGGATTTTCACGATATATATATATATATATATTCAGATACTCGGGATCACCTGGAGCAATTGTGTAACAAACAACAAGGTGCTTCAACAGGCCAAAATTCCCAGCATTGTCACACTCCTCCGCCAGATGGCTGGGCCATGTGCATCAAATGGATGATGGATGGATCCCCAAAGACCTTCTCTACTCTAAGCTTGCCTCAGGCAGAAGATCAATAGGAGGGCCACATCTTCGCTTCAAGGATGTCTACAATCACAACATGAAAACTCTTGGGATCTAGGTCAACACCTGGAAAGAGCTGGTGACATGCTCTGTTCACAGGTCTGAAAGCCATCGAGGAAAAGTTACAACAGCTCGGAGAAACGCTCTCAGAGGAAGATGATGCAGTTCCAACCAAGACCTGACTCAAACTTCAAGTGCAGCAACTACAGCAAGGATTGCCACTCCCATGTGTGGCTATGGGGCTTTTTAGCCACAGAAGATGCTGCACAACTACAAACTATTTCCATGTCTTTCGAGACTAACGAAAGCCAAGAATAATATATATATATATATATATATATATATATATATATATATATATATATATATATATATATATATATATATATAAAATGGAGAACATGATTATTTCAGTTATTAGAATAGTGCCCAAGTGTGATTCACTTCTGAAGAGTGGAATTCAAGAAGCAATAAGCTATCAGCAAAGCAAGCAAACTCAGCTAAAATAAATTTCAAAAATTAAAGTTGACATAGTTTAAAAATGTAAAGCACAGCAACAAATGGGGAGCATTTTAATTGTTTGCACATAATACATATATCATATCGATATTAGTCATTCTGAAATATATATGACATCCATCAAAATAGAATCACCATCTGTCTGTAGTATATTCAATATACTGAACTGAACCTTCAGATTAGTTCCCTTTATATTCTTTATCTTAATCTTGTTAAAATACAAACAGTTGATTGACCCATGCTTTTAAATTTAATTCAAGCCATGAAATAGAGTGATTGAATGACAATAATAAGAATACACTCAGGTTTGCACAGTTGATTTGCATTGAGAAAAAAAAAGCATTAACACTCAAACTGGACTGAAACATTTATTACTGCTGATTTACTTGAAAAGACCGCACTAGTATTAAACTTGAAAATATTATGTTGTCCCCATTCCCCAATGATATGATCCATCCCAATTGTGATATACCAGTGTGTGCATACATTCATTTTTCTATACAGACAGGCATCAAACTGCATATCAAGTTCAAACAATGTTACCATTTTCCTGAAGAACTCAGACCAGGATTTACTCAGAGAATGCAGCAGAGACATTTGGACAACAGAATCATCCAGTCATTAGTGAATGAAATGAACACTAAATGACACTTGCATTACCTTTAAACCACCCAACTGAACTATTGACAGCAGCAAATGATTACATTATACAAATACTACTGTTATAGGCTAAATATTTTATAAACTACCATTAGAATAACTATTTCTTTGCTAATTTCTAAGCACTAAAATTGAAAAATCCAAATTATTTCAAACCTTTTGAACCCCTTTATGAATGCTGAATAGCAAATGCACAGCTGTGTCACAACACAGTGTCCATGTATTCAAACATACTGGTGACACATATTACAGGTAAGTAATCTCAAATTTACATTGTTCAAAAGGCGAAATCAAAACATAAAATATCAATATTTTGGACTTTATTTCTCTTGTTGCCTGGCAACTAAAAAAAGCTAAACTATCTGTTCTTGTGGCTGTTTTAAATAATTTTACCTTTTTATAATGAAAATGCTGTAATCTAGGAGCTCCTCTAATGTCAAGTATTCAAAATTCCAACATACATGTATTTAATTGATCTGGCAGTTTTAAAAGACTTCATACTCCTGTAGGTTTATAAACAGTAAAACATCCAGGCATGGGCTGCAATCTTTAAGGTATGCAGCAGCAAAATTATAGATTTCTCTTCCCAACAATATAGGAACAACCTCCAGAATTAACAATTATAAATCCCTATTACAGACCTGGTGGGGAAAAGGGGGGGAGCTACTGTGTAAATGCTTCATGTGTAAACAAAATTAATTAAGTTGCCTCTGTTACCTTAATCAGTTGCTGCAGGCAAAGAGCATAATCTTTTCCTGTAAAATATTTTCCTGATTTCTGTACTTTTAGCATAAGAGCAGCATTTTGAAACTGGCAAAAAAACAAGAAAAAGGTATTTATTAAAGTAAATTGTTAATAACAAATTAAAGGTGACAAAACCTGTGTAGTAAATCAACATATTTTTTAAATTTAAATCATCAGATGATTTTTTAATTGATTTAAATCATCTGATTTTAATCAACCTTTGGTTGATGGTTATATTACTGATTACAATAAAAATATCTCCAGTGAGCTAATTTTTCATAATAGATAATGCAATTCAAACTTTAACATTTTGTCTGCCAATAAGCAGTTAGAATTACAGATAATGTATATTATGATGTATTGTATATTATGATATAATGTATTATTATGAGTATTCATTTAAAGTGATATAATTTTTTCAAAAAATGGTGATTTTCTAAGCTGGACAGATAATACTTAAGCCATCTTAAGCACAACCTTTATCATTTATGGAAAATATACACCATGAAGTCTTTTAGTGAAACCCTGAGACAAGCAGTGATAACAAGATTTTTTTTTTTAAATGACCACCATGGATGCTATGCTTGATGCTTGACTGGCATCATTTCCATTAGGACCTATTATGCATTATGCAAAGTCTTTGATTAGAAAACTTATGTCAATACAACCATACATTCAGTGTTTGGTGGTCCCATTGCAGTCAGTGTACATAAACAAAAACAAAATGTCAACCAACTGAAAATAAGCTATTTTTTCATATAAGCCTAAAGCAAATGATTGGAAGTTCAAACCAGAAAAACTAGAGTGTGATGTGATGTGATTATGATTTTTAATGTAGCTTTAACAATTTTTCAGTCATATCGCTATGATGTCTGCAGTGTGGCAATTTATAGTGATGTCTAGCACTGGGGAATCATGATGCAGACATGTAGCATGATGTCCCATCCAGTCACATTATCCTGACACCAGGCTGACAAGTCCTAACACTAACCTCTTAATGCTGAGCATCAAGCGAGGTAGCTGTTAGTACCATTTTTGTAAGTCTTTGATATGACTCGACATAGGGATCTAACCCACGACCTCCCACATCCAAGGCGGATGCTTTAACCACTAGGCCACCGGAGCAGTTTGAACAAGAAAATAACTTAACTGTTTTCTTTAAAGCATTTAATAACATTTACTTGGAAAATAATGGATGCTAGACTTGGCATTGTCAAATATCATCACTAAACAGTCATACATGCAAACATTCACATATCATAACCACAATGACATTAAAACAAAAACATACACAAAGTAGCTGTTCTTAAAATCCATTGGATGGCAAAATATATACCTAATTTGATGCAGTTTTTGCTGCAGTCAATAATTCAATAAGAGGGTTGAAATTAATACAAGTGACACTGGTGTACAAAGAATTAAATGCTGCCCCTTTCTGATGTGCTTCATAAAGTCAGGTTCTGTCAACCTGAGTTCTGAAATTTATTTTTGCTGGGATTTTTTTGCTTCACTATTAGCTCATTGCTTCCTGAATTTCTTTAAAAAATGAATCACATTTGGACACTATTTGGCAACTGAAACTGCATTATTTATATATATATATATATATATATATATATATATATATATATATATATATATATATATATATATATATAAAGAATACAAATTATATGGAGAATAACAACCCTTTCAAGCGCACTGGATCCACCAAGGGATCACTAGATCCACCAAAGGATCACGTGTGTCAGGGATTGATTAAAATAGATGCAATAAACTGACGATGAACAGTAACAAACTAGTAACTAACCAGCCTGAGCGATTTTGACTCTTAATGAGTCTTTTTCAAAGGCAAATACAAAACATATATAAGACAAACAAATAAACACAAAAATGTTGTGTTTGTAAACCTCTACATGGCTGTCTCCACATGAGGTAAAACTATAAATACAACCAGCTTGTATAGACTTGTTTCGGATATATATATATATATATATATATATATATATATATATATATATATATATATATATATATATATATATATAGTGTGTGTGTGTGTGTGTAAGTGTCTATTGTCAAGACCCTGCAATATGCCAGCTTCTAGAAAGACTATTCATACTGCTGCCATGAGCCCATAACTGAAAAGTCTATATGCACTATATCCAGTCAACAGATAATGGGTACAGAATACATGGCTGTCACTTGCTAGCAATTTTCACACTATGATAAGTGTCTGTCATTTCTGGATTGTAATTATTATGATATGGTATGCACACAATTCAAAGCTATATTCTTTTCAATTGATAAAATTTTTTGACAGTTCAGTTTTAATTTAAAAGTCTAGAATTTTGTTTAAATAGACACCCATAACATTAGCAAAGAAATATCATTTTCATACAGATCAATTACTGCAGTCAGCTGGAAATATGCTGATGTGTCATGCAAATGATTTTGGATCAATTCATCCACTTTGCTTTCTGTACCCTTTAAGTGTATATCTTGAATTACAAAAAGAATTATGTTACTCAGATTTACTGTGCCTATGCTGAGTATGAGTGTATACATTGATTTCTTTAATTAAGAAAGAATTATGTAGCGCATATACTATGTGAAGGTATGTTTTATCTGCATGCTATTATGAATTATGTTGGTTTGATTTACTGTACAAATGTGTGTATGCGTATTATGAATTATGTTGGTTTGATTTACTGTACAAATGTGTGTATGCGTTGTTTATTAAAATTAAGAAAGCATTATGTTACTCATATATACTGTGTGAATGTACAAAAAACACTGAAGAACATAAATAGTAAACAGCTGACAATATCAAAAAAATCATCTCTCAAACTCAATACATTTAACTAGTGAACACATCTGAGCATACAAGAAAAATTTTTTTGCCTTCAGAAAATAACAGAAAAAAGTTGATCAACTGGGTGACAATTCTTTCAGCACTGAGATTTACTCAATATTTATTCAAAAATTTCTGTTTCTACCAGAGGGAAAGGAGCATAGCACTGTACAATTGCTAATAACAATGACATGGCACTGTACAATGGCTTATAACAATGACATAGCACTGTACAATTGCTAATAAAATGACATAGCACTGTACAATTGCTAATAACAATGACATAACACTTTAAAGTTAATAATAACAATGACATAGCAATTTACAATTGCTAATAATAATAACATGTAATATGGAAATAAAGGTAATAAGTTGCAAAAAATTAATACAATTTGCATTTCAGGTAGCAGTACGAATAGATTTACATAAATTATATATTTGGTGGCAGTGCAAGTCGTCTTTCTAAGTGATGTACATTGTCGTGATGAGAATATCTTTTTATACTGAATAAAATCCAACTTCAAAGAAATTTTGCTGTTTGCAACTCTTTAATATGGATGACTTAGACATGCTCATTAAAGGCAATGATGTGTAATAAATTTTGTTTTCTGACATGTATCCAGCATCTCTTTCATATACCTTATATACTTAAATGAACTGTGTTGCTCTACCTTGCCTAGGCAAATTAACATAATGGACAGTCCCAAAGGACTTAGAATATCACCCTGTTGGTAAATTAATTTATGGAATAGTGATTGTTTAAACCCGATATCCTCATGTCTTATAGACTGATTCAAAGATAGTGTAACATTAATTCTATGCAGGATTGTTAGCCACTAACACATGCTACAAATTAGAGATATATATAAACATGATGGCTGTGGGTTTTTTTCTTCTTGTTGCTTTTTGGTTGTTTCCTTTTAGTATTACTGAAAATTGTTTTATGAAACATGAGTGTCAGATGGTTTGGGAGTAAAAGTCGTTTTATCATGACATTTTGTATTGTGGTGGGTATCGTTCAGAGTAACATGGATGACAATTATTTTCAAAATAACTGTATTGTGGCCATATTTGGAGTCCTTTTTCATGTAGGACTAACTATACATTCTGATTAATGTGTATGTAATGTTTGGTTGCAATCTCTTTAGTAGTATAGGAGCACAACAAGAAACTTTTGATAACAGATGACTGAAAGAAAGCCAACTCTTGATCCCTATGACTATACTATCTGCCCAATTCTTTCATAGTTTACACCCTTTAATAATTTAAAAAATAAAAGAATCAATGATATAAAATATGCACTATATTTAGTCATTGCATTTATTAATTTATAATGTAAAACTTGATTTGCTACCAAGAGATCCAAAACACTCACTGTCATCTTTTCTGCATTTCAAACCAAATGTACAGTTTCAATGTGTAAAATGAGCAAACTCACTGTCCATTTCTTATTCATGTAACAACCTATTTTCAGTGAAGGGTGAGATTTCTTGGACTAAACATAAATAGAAGATAAAAAATGTGTCATCTGCATCCAATGTTTGCATAGATGTGATTCTATCAGTGGTACCAGTTTAAGGATATTTACCACATACACCATTTTATTATTCAAATATACCTAAAATTAAAGAAATATTTTCAAAAAATTAATAAATTAAAAAGTACTGTACCTTTGTGTGTTGTATCAACACATTTGAGAAACCAGTTAGAACCAGTACAAAATCTTGGCAAAATAAACAAGATTAGAATCATGAAAGGTCAGATGACATGTACACTCAACAAGCTAATAATTATCCTATTGTTGGAAATTGGGGGCATTTAAGGCCAAATGTGGGATTTTGAAGGATCATTTAAGTAACAAAGGAATAAAAGATGAAAACTAGATGACTTTCAATAAGGGGAAATAAAATGTAGATACCAAATTACAGCCAGTATATTAAATAAAGCATTGATTTTTTTTTCTTGACATGTTTAGTTGTTTTTGTATTCAAGATGTTAATAAAGACTATTTAAGGACAACTCTTACATATTTTGTTCAATTGAGAAAGAAACATCTGTGTTCTTTCCAAATGCTAAGAAACCCCTGGCTAAGAAATATTACAAGTTCAAGATTGCATGGATATCAGAGTTTAAACATGCAGAGGTGAGAATCAAAGGTCCTGAGTTTGCATTGTTTGTTTCAAATGGTTCTTCTGTATTACATAAACTATTTGAAGTTTTCATGTAAAAAATTTTAAGATCACTTCCAAGATAAAATAAATCAGTTAACAATACAAGATGATTAATTGTAATGCTAGTATAAAATTATTCATAAAAGTACAAATACATTATGTATTTTTTCAATGGTTCGAGCTAAATTAATCTTTATATTTTATTTATTATTTAGAATAGTAACCTGTCAATATCTTTTTGAAAATCTGAGACAGGAAGACAAGGAAGGATTGACAATGAGACACAGGAATACTTTTTAAGTTAACAACATCCAAAAATGGAGAGCATTCAGCAACCTTTCAGGCTGAGCATAATATTCCTGGCATTACAACATTTTAATTCTCAATCTAAAATACAATCTGAATTGGCGGATGAGGGGAATTTCAGACCAGACAACTACTGAGAGTTAGTTTGAAACTTAACAATCACAGATCACAGTGAATACCCTCAGTGGCTCACCAGACCATAATCTTGTAAAGAAAACCAAAAATGCTATTGGATGTTATTAAAGAAATCTTTGCTATGAATTATAAGATAAACAACTATCATTTCATAATTTGACAATATACTGAATTGTGATAAAAACTTAATGTTTTTTTATACTATGATTAAAATACATCTGAAAAACACAATGCACTTATTTAGTTTTCAATCAACTCGAACAATCTAAAGTGCATGCTGAAAAAAATTGCTGGTTTAGAAGCCAACATACTGATCAAAATTTGTAAATCTAGTACTGGTTTTGTCACATGTAATTTTGTGTCAGGTTTTAATATTTCTTAAAAAAAAGTGGATCAAACTAAAAAAGGACAAGTGGTTTGACTCTTACATAATGGGTCCAAAGGTATGTAACTCCCAAAGATGCAGAAATTAATTAAATATTTCGAAAATTATCAAAGATAAAAGCACAACAATTCTGTAGTCTGAAAAAAATAGACGTGCCCATGAAGGCATGAATGACATTTTAGTAAAACAATTCCTCTTCGGTCTGAAACACAAAGAGCACAACTGTGCTAGTTACCTAACTGGATTAGAAATTATACATGAATGAAATTACAAG